GGTGGGTCCATTAAAAGTGCCTGGATGTGGCAGGAGGAACTGGTGACATCGCCTTCCGTATCGCTGAGCAATTATCGAAGTCTTCTCGAGGCACTGAAGGCTCCGAGATCACCGTGTGTGATATCAACTCGTCCATGCTGCAAGTGGGTGAGGAACGTGCAGTTAAAGTGCTTCCTGATGTTGATCCTTCGCTCTTCCGCTGGGTGGAGGGCAACGCTGAGCATTTGGACTTTGAGGACAACTCTTTTGACGTCTACACCCATCGTGTTTGGTATCCGTAACGTAACTCATGTGGACCGCGCTATCAAGGAAGCTTACCGTGTACTCAAGCCTGGAGGCCGCTTCATGTGCATGGAGTTCAGTCAAGTGCCCAACCCATTGATCCGCCAATTCTACGACGCTGTAAGTTTTTATAAAATGTGAAGATCTGAAATGGAGATGCTACATCTTATTTTTTACTGTAGTACTCGTTCAACGTGATCCCGCTGTTGGGCGAGAAGGTGGCGAACGACCGTCCGTCGTACCAGTATTTGGTCGAGAGTATCCGTCAGTTCCCGCCCCAGGAGAAGTTTAAATCCATGATCGAAGACGCCGGATTCAAGCGCGTGACCTACACCAACTTCACGTTCGGAGTGACTGCCATGCACTCGGGCTTCAAGTTCTAAGCCTTTTAGGACCCTCACAACTAATGCAACTCGACATAGAGAAGGATAAAAATTCGATCTGATCCAGTAACTTGGTCATCTATGTCGCTTTCATCTTGGCCGTAAGAATTGCACGGTTGTGGCGCGAGTATGAATTCTGAGGGTCTAGTGTCAATATCTGGGAGTAATCTGCGATGGCTTCTTCGATATGTTGCATCTTCGCTAACGAATAGGCTCGATTACTGAGCGTTCTTGTGTTTTGTGGGTCAATAGTCAGCGCGGTGGTGTAGTCGGCGACAGCTTCTTGAAAGCGTCGAAGCTTACGCAATGCGTACCCTCTGTTATTATACGCAGCGACATTGCGAGGCTCCAGAGCAAGAGCCGAGCTGTAATCTTGCACAGCTTCTTCAAAGCGCCCCATGTTTCGAAGACAATAGCCGCGGTTATGATAAAAGACAGCACTGCGAGGATCCAACGTCAAAGCCAGCGCAAAATCCTGCAAAGCTTCTTGGTGCCGTCCAAGTTGATAAACCATACCGGTGGGTGTGGTAAGTTGGACTGTCTGTACGCAGTGCTATACTTTAGTGCCCTGTCCATAATGGTCGAGATAAGAGCTCGGATCAGTCGCGGGTGGCTATAAGGTGTACCCGCCGCGCGCATAGATACTGCGTTGAATACAGTTGACAGACGCGCGGCCAGCTTGACAGTATCGCTGCAGTATGGCCTGTGTCCAGTTAGTGACCTGCTTGGTCATATAGACTGATACATCAGAAGCGTAAGCACAGTAAGCCAGCACGACGACGCAAATGTACCGTGAAAGCGACAGTGATCCTATGCATAGGTTGTGGCTATCCCGAGGGCATAGCATATACACCCATTTGAGACCTTGCGAGATGAGCTATGCACTGACACATCAAATAGCACGCCGAACTGAAAAGTAGACAGCGAAAGTACTTTATGTAACGTACACGGGCTACTATTCGATACAAGTCTACGTATCACTACGATCTGATAATATGCCTACAGCCAAGTGGCTTCGTATGCTCGCCATACATATCGGAGCCAGTAAATGTCACTCGGAAAGGATATACGGATCTCTGATAATCATTAGCTATGCAAATAAGTCGGTAAGTAAGTCAATGGCGTTCATCCTATCATAGAAGGGTTATGAGATTAAATTTATTATTAATTTAATTGATACGAGTCAGCGAACATTACGTACAGGCCCTTCAATGATATCATGATACTATGAAGAGCTCAGCGAGGCATATGGAGAGGCGAAATTGGTATATTCTGTGACCCTCGGCAGATACTAGCGGCTCTAAACAATAATATGCATGCAGAGACAGACAAAACTCGCTCTAACGGACCGTCGCAATCAGCTATATGGTATATAATACCTCTCGGCTAGACAAATAGTACACGTCACTCAATTCACCCGATTTCGTTGTATCCCAATACACTTCGGTCGTCGTATTTACTAGCGCTAAACTTATCTGGGATCTCCTCACCGATTTATGCTGAGGTTTGGCGCACCAATAATACTGATCCACCTTCTAAATAACCGAAAGTAACTTTGCAATGAAGCGCACCTGAAAGTGTGGCATTTCAGGAGCGAAGCGCTCAGCCGAGAATTAAGACAAATCTTTTAGGGAAAGACAGTGTTCATCATGCAGATGACTTATAGCCCCGGTGGTAACGGCGAATACTTCATCTTCACAATAGTTTACTGTCACGTCTACCTGTACCATGATGCTCAACAATAGCCATCCCATCACGCGGGTATCTATTTGTAACAGCCAGTCGTCACGCAGACCTCTTATAAGTGAAGCTGTCAAAAATGACTTCAAATAATACAAGAGGTAGGCTGACAGGCAATTGGTGATGTAGAACACGTAAGCACTAAGGATATTGTGTACATCGTTTGTTGCAACCCAACATAACTTGAGCACAGTATATTTTATATTCTAAATATAGTTTTGCTTTGAGTAAGGGTTTCTGAGCTCACCGCAGCGCAGCGGAGGTGGTCAACCCTCTCTACACCAATCAATCATGCCCTAGCGTCCGCGGAGCGGGCGCCCAGAGCGCTAGTCTCCCCGCTTCTAACCTTGTAACCTGTCGGTCTGTCCGTCCGTCAGTCCGTCGCATTCCCCGTCTTGCTGCTTTTTCCTGCCTTTTCGCATGGCTACACTCGGCCTGTCTTATACAGTTTCCTCCTATCCTACCGACCGCGCCTACCTTTCTGACTCGACCTAACTATGCTAAAATTACAAATATATCCAAAAGCGTGACACAATTAAATCGCGCCCTGATTGGGCAATACCTGCCGACCTGCGACACTGACTGGATCTGTCGCACGATCAGACCGTCTATCGCCCTCGCGATTGGACGTAAGCGAAACAGTTTTGCCGAGCACGAAACACATCGATGGA